AGATTCACTTTGGTAATGGTATTTAGTATTAATTTATGAGTTACAGATTCAATTTTTATGTTGCTTAATCAAGAACAGATGCAGACTGTGTATAACTTTTAACCCTAATTATTGTATTTTATTTTATTTTTGGCATTTTTAAATCTTATGTGATAAAGGGTTCTATCAATAGAGTGAGAGAGAATTTGTTGTTGTCTGTCTATGTAGCTAATAGAAGAAAAGCACATAATGGCAGTCTTGTAAATTTGTAATCCTTTTCCAATTCCCCTTTAATTGAAAATAAGTTAGGTTTACTTTTGGAATCTTGACATTGTGTAGCTAGAAGTGTTTAGAATTACGAAGTTTCACTTACTTATTATCGAGACTCGTCCGTAAGTTTTTAGAAGTCGATTTCCTCTTCGTATTTGACGATGATCTTGATTTTCTGCATCGAACAGATCTCGATGATTTTTGGCAGTTGGTTTTAATATATTTTTTGTTTCGCAATTGACGTGGCGATAGGGAACATTAAATGCATTCCGATACTGCCCCTGTAGTTACGTCTAAAATGGCGATGGAGACATCAACGAGTGGGTAAGTGCTTCAAACCCCATGATCTATGTTAAAGTGTATTCCTTTTTGTCCTTTTCGTTTTTTTATTATTAATTGATTGTAAAACATTTTTCGTTTGAGCAACTTAAAATTTGGTATTGCTGTTACTTTTAGCACTTCCTTTCGTAAAATCGGGAACACATTTCTTGAATGTGCATATATATATTTATAGAGACACTTATATGGTTAATTGACCTTCATCATCCAAAGTACCAAGTCTCTAAAGCCTCGTTTGGTTGCCATGATAAGATTAACCAAGATACGAGCTTTATTGTTGCATAATTTGCGGGTCTGGCTGGAAAAAAAAGCTATTGCACTAACCAAACGAGGCCTAACACTATAATTTATTTTGATTCAATAAATCTCATGGAACTTATTATTTAATACGTTCGAATAAATCACTGAATTATTCCAATTAACTTTGTTTTTCGTCTCAAAACATTTCGATGAAGTGTTTATTTGTATGATATGGTTTATGTATAATTGTGAAGCTATATGCAAGAAATTGCTTTCAGACACAAATATGATTATTCCTTACTCTCGACTTTCTAAGCTTGAATTTTCGACCTTTTTCTTTTAAATATATTTCTCTTATTTTCTTCAGGGATCATTCGAGCAAGAAGAATAAAGGGAAGGTCCCCAAAAGAATTCACAAGTCCGAGAGAGAGAAGATGAAGCGCGAACATTTAAACGAACTGTTTCTTGCTTTAGCAAATTCTCTTGGTAATTATTGTTTAATAATTTCCAATTAATTCTACCCTCGTCTGATTTTAGTGGAAAACAAATAGTACTTTATTTGAGCGTTAAATCAATTTCTTTATTTCGTTTTCTCAGAACTACCCGACGAGGATAACAGTAACGGTAAGGCCTCTTTATTGACTGAAGCCACTCGACTTGTGAAGGAGATGCTGACTCAGATTGATTCTCTCAAAAAAGAAAATGCTGCATTGTTGTCCGAATCCCAATACGTAAGCCCATCGACGTTAATTAAGTTCTTGCAAATATTATTACATACTCCCTACGTTTTAAGTTTTAACAGATCAAGAAATCTATTATAAAGCTTCCGTTTTAATAGAAACAGAGTAATCTTGCTAAACATAATCCCACATTGAACTTTTAAATCGACTAATTCTACGGATTTTTTTTTTCTAAGCAGAGTTCATGATTTTTCTTACTTTATGATTTTTATATATTAAAGGTGACTGTAGAGAAGAACGAGCTAAAAGACGAAACTTCTACTTTAGCGGCTCAAATCGGCGAGCTACAGACGGAGCTCAAGTCTAGGGTTTCCGATTCGGAACTCGACCTGAATGTGGTCCCCCCAGAATATCACAACCATGGGGCGGCATCGCACGGTACTACTGGGGGGTGGGGCCCACTCGCGCCAGCTGGACATCCGCAAGTACAAATCGTAAGTCCTCTACAATTTGCCGCATTGTGCTCGAACATTCAAGCTTATTCGGAGGTCGATAAAGAACAAACCGAGTCGAGTCATATTTCGACTGTGAGCAAACCGCACGCTCGATACCCTACCCCGGCCGATAAATGGCCGTCTCAGGTTCTAGAAAACCAGCCCGTGTTAGGAAAACGAGGTAGTGGAAATAGCAATTAGTAGTACTTTTAAAATTGTGGTCGATAGCATAATAGCAAAATTATTATATCTATGTATGAACGAGAAAATGCCCGTCTGTATATCTCCGTAACACTTGATTTCTATTTAATAATCCTTTTTTCTTAATAATTTTTTCGAGCGCGAAATCGGAGAAATTCATTGCCGATTCCATTTACATTGTCGTAATTTAAAAAACATCCTACGACCTTTGGTTCTTCGAAAAGAAACGTAGGACGATATAGAAGAGAACTCTATAGATAACAGCCCATCCCAGCATTGCGTAAACTCTCTCCCACTTCAAATTCTTCTGAATCCCGATTCCGAGCGATTCCAATATATCGTTCCCACTTAAATTCCCGAAAGTGCCCGTCCTTTGATACTCGTTCATCAGCAGACCTTCGTACGGGTAAGTCATAGTCGAGACATAATGCATCCACTTCCAATACTTGGGAATCGAGTGACTGTCGGCAAAGTAGCCGCAGAAGAGGAAGAAAAGCGCGGTGAAGGCAATCACGGCCGCGTATCCGAGAATAAAGTTGGGGACCACCGCACTGACAAACACCACGAAAGAGTTGGTGGAGAGCAGCGATATGTAGAGAACGAGCAAGAAGTAAACGAACGGGCCCTCGAGCCCCAACGGGAACCACACGATCGCGGCGTACACGGCCGCCTGGAGGGCGAGGAACGGGAAGTAGGTGACGAGGCCCGCTATGGTGTATGAGGACGCACGGTAAGCGTTGTGGGACGTCTCGCGGACGAATACGAACCGCTCCTGGATGAACGCCGGGACGGCGTCGTTGGAGGAGAAGAAGAAGAGGCATACGGTGAAGATGAAGAAGCTGAGGCGGTTGGTGATGCCCTGGAGATTATTCTCCGGGCGCCAGAACATGGTCGCCATCATGATGCCCATGACGGTGAGGACGAAGAGGCGCGAGAGGAAGAGCTCCGGTGTGCGACGGATGTTTATGAAGTTGCGGCGCATCAGGACCCACGTCTCGGGGAAGAAGGAGTTGGCGAACTTGGGGCCGAGGTTTGGGTAGGTGGACGCGGTTGTTTGGAGGACGCTGCTGTGGGTTATGTAGTCGTCTTCGTTGACCGTGTAGTCGCTGCTGTGGGGAGTCGGGGTGCCTTGTAGGATCTCGCTCGAGTAGGTGTAGTATGCTTGAGTTGGGCTGCACATACAGTACAACCTCGATATATTAATACTCGATAAATTAATAACCTCGATTAAATAATAGTTTCTCTCGGTGGCGGATTTGATAATTTTTCATCGAAGTGGGAGGTCCATGTAATTTCACTATCTAAGAGGGGTCCGTGTGAAAATAAACCTCAAGGGTAAAATGGTCATTATATGGAGTTTTTCGAAAGTATATATTTGTACCTCCTTCGGGCAAGATCTTTTAGATCAGCATACTTCCTAGTTGGTGTAAAGGTCATTTTCTGGCTCGCACTCCAAGACCTCGACGTGTTGTTCCACGGGCTCCTTACGCTGTTATCGAAGTCCCGATCGTCGTTGCTTGCCGTTTGTAGGTTTATGCGTTTGCTTGACGCCGTCAGCTGGCGGTTTCCGCTCCGTCTGGGCGGCGGGGCCGAAGATTGCGAGGGGGCTCCCGCAGAAGCTGCCGCCGCCATCTCCTCGTCGTCCTCTAGTTGCGGCGGCTTCACTCCGCTGAGGGCGAACTCCGCCAGCACCTCGACACCGAACGACGACTGGTCATACTCTTGAACGACGTCGATGAAGTACTCCATCGCGTTTTCGCCCTCTGGGATTTTGCGGCCCAACCGGTCGAGATGGAGGGTCAGGTCTTTCGGCGAGCCTTGATACATGAGCTGGCCTCGAGCCAGGATGATCAGGTGGTCCAATAGTAGCTGGATCCGAGACGAGGGCTGGTGAATCGTGAGGATCACGGTGCTCCCGGACCGTGCTATGTCGTGGACCTTTTCGATCACGCTGTGGGCGCTCGTCGAGTCTAGGCCCGAAGTGGGCTCGTCCAAGAAAAGGAGAGACGGCCCGTGGATGATGTCCACTCCGATCGAAACCCTTCTTCGCTCACCGCCGGAGACTCCCCTCGTGCCCTCGTCGCCTATGTAAGTGTTTCGAGCCGACTGTTTAGCAAGAAACAACAACAAAAAGTCTTGATATTAGGATTTATTGTATTTAGCACATCTGTGTTTACACTAAGGCCACATTTGGTTGCTAAGATATGATTTAGCCAAGATAAAATTAAATAATCTAATCGAAACCCAATTGTATTATTGGATCATACAAAGTCCAACAAGAAAGGCTCCTAAAAGGCAAGATAAACCATGATAACATAATATTTTCGAGTCGACCTGGGAAGTTATTACGCATACCAAACATCAAACAAAGTTTAATTGTTTAGTTAATCATGGTTGATCTCCCCAACCAAACGAGTCCTAAGTATCAAGAAACTTCCTGCATTATAAATAGTAGCAAATACTCCCTATGATTCAATTTTATTAGCACCTTAGCCCCTAAAAACACACAATGTATGGGGTTTTGTACTAAAAACATGATCACAAGGGGGTTTTGCTAATATTTATAACACGAGCCATTTGTTAGCAATTCAGTATAACACAGGGGTACCAAAGCAATAAAATCCAAAATATTAAGTAAAACTCGTAAATATTTATCCAAACCACGTACCGACAAGCCGAGCTGCTCGATGAGCTGCTCAACTCGTTGCCGTTTATCGGCCCTCGAGATGGACCCCAGCCGAAAATCAGCCGCAAACATAAGCGTCTCATAAACAGTGAGCATAGGGAAAAGCCTATCGTCCTGCATTATATACGCCGAAGTCCTCTTAATCAAGCTCGGGCTAACGTCAACTCCGTCCAACGAGACCCTCCCCATAAGGCTCCCACTCGCAATTCTTCCGGCCAAACCATCCAAGAACGTCGATTTTCCGGCCCCACTGGGACCCATAACCGCGGTAACGGACCCTTTCGCTGCGTAGCCCGTTATACTGTGGAGTAAATCGGCTTCTTGATTAACCCATTTTCCGTTTATGTCCTTGTTCTTCTTCATCACGGTATAAGTGAGGTTGTAGAACTCGAGCCCCCCGGTGAAGTTTACGGGCTTTCCTATTTCGATCACCATATCCGGACCGTGATTCTCCCTTGTTTTCATCTTCAATTCGTTTTTTTTTCTTTTTCTTTCTTTTTTTGATGGGGAGGAATGGTGGGGAGGTGGTCTATACAGCTAATATATATAAGGATTTTGTTTTTAATGCCTTGTGATATCCGAATTTGGAAAGTGGTGTATTTCTTGTTTGCTTCATCGTTTGCATGAGAGTTTTGTTTGTGTTTAATGATAAGGTTTATATGTGTTGAAATGTGTCTAAAGAGTTTGTACAAAATAGATGCAGTTTATGCTAATTTATTAATTAATTGTGATTAGTTTAAACGACAGCTGATTTGGTTTGTAGTTTGACAGGTATTGGATAGATCATCGGATTAATCGAAAATGTGGTGTACTTTAGTAAAACTAGTCCGATTAATTATGTAATAACAAAATATATCGAATGTGACTGATTATACATGAGGTGAACTACCGATCTTTATAGATGCTACACCTGATGAAATAAAATGGGTGATTTTAAACTACAGATCTACACATAATAACACACACTCATGTGTATGTGTGATCAGTAGATGATTATTTATATAAATTTACGGTTTAAATCACTTGGTGTATTTCACCGGGTACAACATCTCATAGACCAATCTTCACCCAGAGTAACCACCGCGGGTTGGGGGTGTTGCATTTGATCACCGTTGAGAAATTACACAGCCACCGCTGATGTGGGGTGTCTAATTTCAAATTCTCTTGTCAATACTTTCTAGGTTTCGAGAAAAAATTACGCATAAATCGCTTTAGGTTTGAGCAAATAGTTAGTAAATTATATTATTGTCCTCTAAAATTATCTGATTACATATAGACCTCTACTATTGTCAACTTACATTTTATAATATTTGATCATTGATTTGTTATAAATTTATTATATATTAAAAAACAACTTGTCGTTTATTGAGAATATGGGACAATTGCATTTTTCCCCCTTAAACTTTACCCTCTTCTGTAAAATTGTCCCTAAATATTTTGGAGTTACAATATTAATCCTTAATCATGTCACATCATTCTTTGATATAATTGGTCCGCCGTTTATTTTTTCCGTTAAGTTAGATGAAAATTTTGTTTTAACAATACGCAACGCACATTGTTAAAAGTCTATTTTCATGTAGTGTTGAAAATTGAAAGCACGTGAGAGGCACATGCTATTTTCTATCCAACTTAAGTGAAAAAATAAACGGCGGACCAGTTCTGTCAAAAAATAGCATGCTTAAGGACTAATATTGTAACTTCAAAATTTTTCGAAACAATTTTGGAAAATGGGTAAAATATGAGGACGAAAAATGTAAGTTTCTCATTAGAATATTTCAACAAAAAAAGTATACAAATATTATTTAATGAGTTTATACTCGGTTTTTAGTTGAAGTTAAACTTTAATAGAGATATGTGTAATATTTTTGAAAAATAAGAGGTTTATTTGTAATTAGACGTAACGTAAGGGGAGTAAAATACAAAGCAAAAGAAAGAACGTCAATTTATTTTATTTTATTACTATTATAAACACTTCTAATTACATAATCATAATTAATCTCCAATAATTAATTAGCCAAGTTACAACAATATAATAATCTAGAACTTGGCTTGGAGCTCTTCCACAATCTTCTTATCCAACTGAAAAGCCTTAGACAAATAATCGCTACTAATCGCGGGTTTAGCCCCGAAAACGGCATTCGAAACCACGGTTACACCGGCATTCTGGCTATTCACAACACCAAGCGCCACCGTATTGCCATTAGCCAAATTCCTCTGGTAATGAATAAGCCCAACGGGGATGACAAAAGCATCGCCCTTTTCGAGAACCTTGCTATAGTGTTTGTAGTTAGGGTACGAGGTGACGAAGCCCACTTCGAGAGAACCTTCTAGAACAGTCAAGATTTCGGTACCCCTAGGATGAAAGTGAGGTGGCACGAAGCCACCTGGCGAGTAGTCGAGCCGAGCCACTGTCAAGCCGAGCGTGTTGAGCCCCGGAACTCGAGCCACGTTCATGGGGATCGTGGACGAGCCATAAGGGTTGGTTGTGTTTCCGGTTACATTGAACCCTCTGAAGAAGAAATCATCCACTACGACGGATGCAGGGTCCTTGCATGGTAGACCGTTGATTCTCACTGACCAATAAAAAAAACGAAGAAGAATTGCAATTAAGAATAAAATATAAACTCTTAATATTAATCCTAGTTTAATTTATTTATTAGGAAAAATACAGTTTTCATCCCTCAAGTTTGCATCGATTTCACATTTGGTCCTCATGTTCACAAAATAACACATTTGGTCCTGCATGTTTCAAAAATTCAATACTTTTAGTTCATTCCAGTCAATTTTTTGGTAGTACTATAACGGAATCAAGCGTTTCTCCATGACTGCCTTAACTGATGGACTAACGGTAAATTGACGAAAATGACCACAAGTGTTAAATTATTAAACATGAGGGACTAAATGTATTATTTGTGAACATGGGGGACTAAATGTGAAATTGATGGAAACTTGAGGGGTAAAAACTTTAATTTTCCCTTAATTTGTTACCTGTGCTATTGAAGTCAGCGACGCAGAAATCTTGAAGTGGGCTAGGATCGAAGGCGTAGGAGACACCGAAAAAGAAACCAAGGGCTAAAATGCAAAACAATATTGAATTTTGTGCCATTTTTGTAATTAAATTGCAATTTCTCAAGAATGTTGAAGAGAGAGAGAGATTGTTTGGTTTTTTTGGTTGATGAAGAACGGTGGTTTATTTATAGGTTTTGTCGAGGATTAATATAATATGAGATCCTATGTTGATTGTTGCCATCATATTCTCTTTATTTAAATTAATGGGATGCGTAAATTAGAAGGAATTGCTGTGGATTTCAAAGCTGCATTTTGCGTTCACATTAACCCTTTTTCTCACTACCTATGCTCATAGCATTTTCCAATTTTTTTTAACAAATTAACTTTTTTTAATAAATTCTTTTTTGAAGTTTTCTTTTCGGCAAATTTACTAAATTATAATCAACTACAAATAACAGTAATTAATTACTAATTCTTTTTTTTCTTTTACGAACGGATTTAATAAACTGTAATTAACTACAAATAACAGTAATTAATTATCAATCATTTTTTTCTTTTCCCACAGATTTAATAAACTGTAATCAACTATAAATTACAGTAATCAAATATAAATTACATAATCAGCTACAAACTTGTAACTATTGATTTCATTTGAATTTCTAGTAGTTAGCTATAAATTTATGATAATCAACTACAAAACGAACCAACAATGCACATTTACGACACATAAAAAACCACCACTTCCCTACATAAATCAACTACTGCTACACCACCTTCAAAGTACGATGATGTGCATCACATACACAAACCGATTGCACAAACCATGTATTCGCGACTACAAAATACTATCTTCCCGGTATCCCAACTTCGTTAATCGTATCATCTCCTAATGCCATAAACATCAGTTAATAAACATATTCCAAAAATAAGTAAACTAGACTACTAAAAAACAAAATAGACGACTGTTAAGTGTATATTTTTACACTTTATCGTATCTTTTTATTTGAGCTTTTGGTGTGTTTTAAGATAATTGGTGCTTAAAAAGTCGATTTATTATATTTCAGGTATAAATTGAAGAATTGGAAAAGTATGGGGTCAAAACTGCAATTTTGGAGAAAATATGGGCCAAAAGTGAAAAAAACCAAAATCTGGAAATTTAAAGCTCGGACGGCCGTCCGAGTTTTAGTTCAAATTATGGGACGGCCGTCCGAGACCCCGAAACAGCGCAGTAAAGGGATTTTAATTGCACAAGGAAACTGCCTTCTTCCCCAAGTTCTTCACCCTATATAAGACCAAACCAAGCACACAATTGGGGATCTTTTTTTTTACGCAATTTCAAGAGCAACAAAGCAATAACGAAGACGAAGAATTCGAAGACTCCAAGCAAAGATTTATCTTCTATGATTTATTTTATTTGCGTTTTTGCTTTAATCATGAGTAGCTAATTTTCTTATTTCTAGGATTTTATTTGGAACCCTATGTGGGATTTATGAACCCTTTTCTATGATTTTATGCAAGTTTTAATTCCGGATTATTTCTTTTACTTGTTTTATTAAGTTCATGAAACTGGCCACTTTATGCGCTTTTATGTTATTGTTAATCGCATGAATCGGAAGATCGGGTTAATAATTAGAACTGTGGTAGAAGAGCCTTTGTGGTATTAACATAGGAATATAGTTAATCTCTTAGGTAGCCATTATTGAGATTTGTGCTTAATGTTGTGTTCTAGAATTAATTGCATAGGAATATAGTAATTGAATCTAGAATATTAGAATTGTAATACACGCGGAAGCGGGTTATGATTATTTTAGCATCTCACGTTAATAATCCGGGTTAATTGCTTGCATAATTGAAGGAATTGGGGGGGAATAATAATCACATAGGGGGAAGAATAAAATCCTAGGCTCGTTTACTCTGATAAATCTTCGTGTTTAATTTGCTTTCTTGCTTTGTCGTTTTAATTTGTTTTTTTTTTATTTACTTTAGTTAATTCTCTCTAAAGTCGACTGTGTAGGGTGGGCTTGATAATAATTGGTAGAACTTAGCGTCTAGGATTAGATAATTAAATAGTCCCTGTGGGTTCGATATCCGGACTTTTAGTCCACTATATTACTTGTACGATACGTGCACTTGCGTGTAGGTTTTCGACCAACAAGTTTTTGGCGCCGTTGCCGGGGATTATTTTAATTATTTATTTTATTCTAGCTCTAGATTTGAACAATTTTCACGATTCACCCATCTAATTTTTGTTTTATTTTATTTTTTTGTTTTAGGTATTGTGTATGCATAGAAGACTCGATCTTGCTAAAGAACCGTTTGATCCCGAAATCGAACGTACTTTTCGAGCGGCTAGGAGACTTCAACGCGAAAACAATATAATGGAGAACGAAGAACGCAGGGCCGCAGGTAATTTACTCGAGGCCAACGGAAACCAAGTGCAAGACCCTCCCCCTCAACTTCCAGCACAGCCAACAGTTCGTCCACGAGCACTTCAAGATTACATAATCCCAACTCTAGACGGATTCCGCCCGAGCATCCAATATCCACCCATTGAGGCGCACAATTTTGAGATCAAGCAAGGCCTTTTGACGATGCTCCAAAATAACGGGCTATTTAGTGGGTTGGCAGGTGAAGATCCCCATCTTCACATTGTCAATTTTCTAGATACCTGTAATTCCCACCGTCAAAACGGCGTTTCCCAAGAGGCGCTTCAATTAATTCTCTTCAAGCACTCCCTACAAGGAAGAGCTCGCCAGTGGTTGATGTCCCAAGCCCCCCACTCTATCTCGTCGTGGCCTCAACTCCTCAACCTTTTCATGAAAGTCTATAGCTCACCCGAGAAGGACGAGAGAATCCGACGAGAAATTCACAATTTTGTCCAAGAGCAAGGCGAGCAATTATACGAGGCATGGGAGAGATTTAAAACTCTTTTGCGGCAGTGTCCAACACATGGAGTCGAACAATGGCGGCAAATCCACATCTTCTACCAAGGGATTAACGAGAATGCACGAACGGTCTTAGATGCATCAACCGGGGGGAATTTTATGAGTCAATCGATACCGGATGCGTTTATCATGTTGGATCAAATAGCTCAAAATCGGTTTGCCAAGTCAAGCGAGAGGACGGTTAGTGGGGCCAAGAAAGTTCCCGGAGTGTTGGAGTTAGATGCAATTACGGCTCTTCAAGCGCAAGTGACCCAAATTGCTCAACAAAATCAACTCCTACTACAACACATCAAAGCAAATCCACCACAACAAGTCCAAGCCGTTGAGTCTCCATGTTGTGAAATTTGCGGTGGAAATCACTACACGCTCCAATGCCAACAAGATGTGGAGTCTCTCAACTACGTCAACAATGCGCCTCGCCAGTTCCAAAATCAAGGGTGGAGATCACAAGGGCAATATGGAGGAAATCAACAAGGCCAAGGATATCAAAGACCTCAAGGTCAATTCCAAAATCAAGCCCCTCATCAACAAAGTTTTCAAGGCAACAATCCACCGGCCCAAAAATTAAGCACGGATGAGATTTTGGCCCAATTCATGACCGCTACCCAAGCCTCGCTGCGGAATTTGGAGAATCAATTCGCTCAATTCGTTGTGAATCAAGAGAAACGTCCGCCGGGAGCATTGCCATCAAATACGGAAGATCCTCGAAAGCAAAAGTTCGAGACGTGCCAAGCTATCGATCTCAAGATCGAGAAAAAAGAAGAAAGTCAAGTCAAGCCGCAAGTCACTGTAGCCGAATGGGTCGAGCCAATCCCATATCCACAAAGATTGTTAACGAAAAAGATCGAGGTCGAGACATGTAAAGCAGTCACCTTGAAGAACGGTAAACAATTGGAGGAAGCCCCACGAAAGGAGAAGAGAAACACGGTAATCGAGAAACCGAAAGTGACTGAGGAAAAAGAATCAACTCATGAAGAGCCACCATCAACGGTGCCTTCACAAGTCCCTCCAATTCCTTATCCTCAAAAATTTATAAAGAAGAAGCTCGATGTTGAATATCAAAGGTTTTTGGACAAGTTGAAGGAAATTCGCATAAATATTCCTTTCATTGAAGCACTTCAAAAGATGCCAAAGTGGGTGAAGTTCCTCAAGGACCTCGTGAAGAAAAGTAAGAAATTGCAAGGGAACGAGATGATCCAACTCACGGAGCAAATTAGTGCAATTCTTACTCGGCCTCTTCCACAAAAACTCGGCGATCCAGGTAAGTTTACTATTCCTTGTACTATAGGAGGTAAAAATTTTAGATCGCTCATTGATTTAGGTGCTAGCATTAATCTTATGCCGTACTCTACTTTTAAAAATCTTGGGTTAGGAGAAATTGAACCGACGGCTATAACTCTTCAATTAGCCGATAGATCTTTAGTCTACCCAAAAGGTATTTTAGAGAATGTGCTAGTGAAAGTCAATAAATTTATCTTCCCTGTCGATTTCGTTATACTTGATATAGATGAGGATAGGGAGATACCTCTTATCGTAGGGAGACCGTTTTTAGCCACGTCGAAAACTCTCATTGATTGTGCTAGTGGTGATCTTACAATGACTGTGCATGATCAAACAATCAAATTCAATGTTTTTAGTGCTAATAAAAATCCATGTGATAATAATGATTGTTTTGCTATTGAGCTTATGGATTTTACAAATAATGAAAAGTTTGATGTTTCGATCTTGGACAATGGGAAAGCAACTTTGAGTGCAGGAGATGATGGCGGAAACGAGAATCGGACGGAGCAAGTTTATTTCATGGACTCACTTTTAAATCCTCCGAGAAAAAGTCATGCGAGTCAAGGTCTTAACGATGATGAGAATGCAAGGAAGATGTTGCCAACCAAAGGCTCGAGCAAATCACGAGAGAAGGATGAGTTAAGCTATAGTGGTCGTAAGGAGAAAATCAAAAAGGAATTGCACAAAGGACAATTGGTGTTATTGTGCAAATCCCGTCTTTGGTTATTTCCAAGGAAGCGCAAATCAAAGTGGTCGCGGCCGTTTATTGTCAAAAAAATTCTTCCTCACGAGGTGGTCAAAATAAAGGAGCGCGATTCAAATCGTACGTTCAACGTAAAGCGGAACCGGCTCAAACCGTATTTGGAAGCGAGTGAAGAATGCCAAGTGACCTCGGTCACTTTTGCT